CAAAATACCTAGCTCAAGCAAGGTCTGATTTTTTATTCTAATGATTATATGCATCTGGACAATAATAAAATGGAAAGCCAATTCCCAAGAAACAAGAAAAAAAAGAGAAGAGAGCGGAAGCACATTAAGTGTTTGTGTTAAACTGTCTTTCTTCCATCAATAATGTTCAAATCCTCAATCTATTGTGGCTGCAAAGCTGTCCTTACAAAACAATCTACCTTATGTGAAAATGAGAAATCAAGATTAAGTTTTTTGTTCTCCAGGAAATTTTCCTTGTATTATAGTTTGCAATGCCTCAAAGTGAAATTGACAATTTTGGTGGAAGACACTATGCCAATGCATTCAAAGTTTTTGCATTATATCTGTGTATTAGGCTGTTTTTTGATTTTCTAGTATGGATCATACAAGTGGCAAATCATAATCTCTGAAAGACCTTTACTTCTCTGATTGTCAGAAGACAACGCCCTTAAAGGATTTTCTCCTTCTTCTTTTTCTTTGTCTGCTTTGGGGAAGCTCTATTTTGAGGATGACTAGCACTTAGAATTTGTCAAATATAACTTATAGTAAAAATAATTTTCCATAGTCATTTATGATTTTACTTATATTGATAGGAAGGGGTCTCGTCTAGGGCATGATACTGTTGTAGACGGCATGCTAAAAGATGGACTCTGGGATGTCTATAATGATTTCGGCATGGGCGTCTGTGCAGAACTATGTGCTGATCAGTATAAAATTACAAGAGAAGAGCAGGTAATATCTGCTGCTGCCTGAAGTTATGAGATTTATCTCTTCATTTTTGTTTTCTTGCTTCCTATTTTTTACTTCTCCTTCTGTGGGAAGTAGCTGTGTGTTTTAATGTAAAGCTTGGAGCTGTTTTGTTTTCTGGAAACAAGGCCTTGAAAATAAACTTAGTTTTCAACACGATTTTCTATTGTATTTTCTAGTAGTGATTTGTCTTCACATTTTTCTGTAGGATTCTTATGCTATTCAAAGCTTTGAGCGAGGAATTGCTGCACAACGTAGTGGTGCATTTGCTTGGGAAATAGTACCAGTGCGGTTCTACATTCTTTCTTAAAATGATGCTCTAGAAAGGTTGAGTGTTCTGATTAAAATCTTGATGTTCATGCAGGTAGAAATTTCTGGTGGAAGAGGAAGACCATCTAGTATTGTCGATAAAGATGAAGGCTTAATAAAGGTGAATCGGATTGTTAACAAACTCATGTATTGTACTTGAGATATATGTATTTGTTTTTTGGTTTCCGGTTGAGATCATCTTTTGGTAGATCATTCTTTTTTGTGATCTTCTTTACCTTTTTATGTATCCTTTACACCTATACTTTTTTGTGATCTTCTTTACCTTTTTATGTATCCTTTACACCTATACTTTTTTGTGATCTTCTTTACCTTTTTATGTATCCTTTACACCTATATCACCCTGTAACGTGGGATTTTTGCTTGACAAACTGTACAAAAATCCCTGTACGATCTATTCCATTATATTCTATCTTGTGTAGTCAAATAGTGCTTCCATGTGCAAGTTCGCTTTCTATCAATGTCATTTGTAAATCTTCTTTGTCAATTTTTTTATATTTGATTTCAATCAGTTATACTCTCGGGCAGCAGACTTGGCAATTTTCACGTGTGGTTTCTTTCCCCTGCCATTGCCAAGCACATATACTTGATTTCCCAGTCTTCTTCCACACGTTCTTGATGAAAGTTTTGTCTGTCCACCCTTGGTTTCCAAGTTCTGAATGTAAATGATACCTTGATCTGCTGAGTTGCTTATTTTACCTGTCAACTGTTTGAACCTCTTTTCATTGTTGTTTTGCTAGTTTGATGCCTCCAAACTAAGAAAGCTTAGACCAAGTTTCAAGGAGAATGGAGGTTCTGTTACTGCAGGCAATGCTTCCATAATAAGGTATTCTTTCGTCTGTCTCTCTGTTACCATACGTGCATGTGCCTAGGCAGACTAATTTCTTTTCACGCATTTATTATAACGTCTTTGAAATATAAGACAGTTATAAGAACCTGCTCCTAGAGTTCTTAGTATTTTCATGACACTGCTCTGTGTTTAGCGCTGCTTGATGTAGAAAGTAGGCTCATTTGCTTTATTTTGACCTCTTGTATGCTGTAACTCTAGTGATGGCGCTGCAGCATTAGTTCTGGTGAGTGGAAAAAAGGCGATTGAACTTGGATTGCAAGTAATCGGTAGGATCAGAGGATTTGCAGATGCAGCTCAGGTAGAAGAGAATTTTCTTTTGTTGTCTCGAGTGTTACAACTTACCGGGACTTGTCTAACAAGATTTATTGGGCAGGCACCTGAATTATTTCCAACAGCTCCAGCTCTTGCTATACCAAAAGCAATTAAGAATTCTGGCCTTGAGTCATCTCAAATTGATTATTATGAAATAAACGAAGCGTTCTCTGTAAGGATCTGCACTGTGTCTTCTGACTCTACTTTATTTTGTTTGGCCGTAATTTATCATGTTTTCTTCACAGGTTGTGGCTCTGGCCAACCAAAGACTGCTCAATCTTAATTCGGTTAGTCTCCCATTGCTGTGCACATTGGATGCTTACATAGTGAAATATCGTGGCAAATTTAGTTTTGATTAAAAAAAATTGGTATCTAATCAATTCATCCAATCCCCCCCTCCGTCTCTTTCTCAATCCCGGTGTACTTATGTTCTCTGGTCACAGGGAAAACTAAATGCACACGGTGGAGCTGTGTCATTGGGACATCCTCTAGGGTGCAGTGGAGCTAGAATTCTGGTAACTCTTTTAGGGGTATGTTGGCCACTTCTTCCTCTAATTATTAATGTTAAGCTATTAGACTTGGCATAACTGGTAAAATTGTTGTATGCGATCAGGGGTTTGAGCAGGGTAAGGCTGCATACAACAAACCCTTATGATCTAGCCCTTCTACAGACCTCGTGCATACCAGGAGCTTAGCTAGTGCATCGGACTGCCCTTTTATTTGGACTTTCATATTCTGCTAGTCATTGATTTGATATGATATGGCCATATTCTATACATAGATATTGATAGATTGTTTTCGTAATGGACAACTGATTAGTATCTGCAGAATGTTGCTGCTTTTGATTTGTCTCACACAAATGTAACTATGCTTCAGGTATTGAAGCAAAAGAATGCGAAATTTGGTGTTGCTGGAGTCTGTAACGGGGGAGGAGGAGCATCTGCCCTCGTTGTAGAGTTCATGTAAGCCTTTTCTTTTGTTAATGTCAAGATTTATTCGCTATTCATCAACCCCTTGAAATTTGTCGTACAACTTTGTTTTCTCTGCTTCTCGTCCTTTTGGATAGCTAGCTCAATCTCTTATGATTGAGAAAATTTGGCAATATTTCCTTAAAACATCAGTGAATTATATCCGTGACAGCCTCTCTACCTTTAAGGTAATAGGGGTTCAGACCCCGCTTTGTAGAATTACATTGGGTACGTCATCGTTGTATCACCGACTTCAAATGAGCTCAGGTTCTAGTCGCTCTTAACGTTCATAGACTCTGAACTGCAACTGACTCGCTGCAATCAGAGGTTGCATTTGATACAAAATAGTGTCATTTCTAACTACATTGTGTTTGCATCGTTCAGGCCTGTAGGGATGGTAGCGCGTTCCTCGCTTTGAAGCTGGAAAAACTTCTTTGCACTATCCGCACCAACAGTAGCAAGACGTCTAAATCTTTTACTTGATTGTCGAAAACTATATTAGCAACGCTCTAAAGGTTGAACTTATATGCATTGACAGTATAAGAGTTTTATACAATAATAGTGTATTGCAACTTCTTATAGCTGGTTTTCTACTTTATTTTCTGCATTACCAATCAAGGCTTATTATAGAAAGTTATTTGCGCTATGTCACTACTTATATAGTGTCTGAGATAAAAGGGAAAATTATGCGCCCAAGTAAATATATACTAGTTGATTATTTAACATAGTTATTAGATTGGAAAAATTATTTTTCGCCACTAACATATAACCTTATTTACGTAGGCTACATTCAGAATTTGTATAATTTAGTTCGTAATCGTATAAATTCAAAATTTATATATACTTGCTGTGCTCGTATATAATCATCATGTTTGTATATGAATTGTGTAAGTTCTGAAAATTTTCTAAAGGTATAAACACACAATTTGTATATACTTACCTTGTTGTATATGCGTAAGCGAAGTATACATATGGAAATAATCATAGCTAATGAGTGAATTAGGCAAAAGGAGGTTCATTAACTTCATTTTTTTTGCTATTGATAAAATTTCCTTATAAAAATACAGCAAATCTCTTAATTTTATATTATTTTATATAATTGCCAAATAAATATGTATAAATATAAATGTGAACTCCATTGATATTTTATTTTTTTATTTATTAAGGTGAGGAATTTTAATAGCACTTTTGATCCTTCAATTCATAGTAAATTTTGATTTTGATCCTCATCATACGTGTATGACACAACATAAGAAATGATCAATTAATAAGCAACTGTTTAATTCATAATTATGATGAATTTATGAATATTCTCACAAACAAAGAAATTAAAAATTAATAAATGCAGTTAAATATCATAAAGAATTAAAATTAGAATTTTTCAAGTTCCCAATTTTTCCTTTAACATACATTTGGATGATGGAGAATAATCATCGTGTAATTAACAACATATTTTTCGTTCTTATTCCGTAAAAACCTCAAAATGCTTTTGGAAAATAGTAAATGTTCTATCACCGAAACAACAGCAAATAAAAATAGAAAAAAAAAATGAAATCACAAACATTTTGGAGTCATTTATTACACAAATATTAGAAAATATTTATATCTCATCTTAATTTTCTTTCATTCTATTCATATTCTTTTTCAAATAGAAAAGGGAAATTGTTATACATGCAATGAGTTGGTAGCCATGGAGATCACAATTTCTTGAATCCTTGGCTTCTCTTTTATGAATAATAAATAACAAGTGAGTTTTCTCTTTATATTTTCAAGCGTATTATTAAGCATATATAATATTTCTAGACTTGTTTGAGATTGAGACTTATAATCTTTATTGCGTTTTTTCTTGATCATACAATTTTTATACATGCAATGACAGGCGCATATTTTTAGAAAAGGTGTCATTAAGCACAACTTCACAATTTCATTTATCTGTTTGTGAATTACTAATTATTATGTTAGATAGGTAGTCTATATCGCAAGCTTTTGGAATGCAGTCATTCCCTAGCGCCTGCGTGAACATTGGATGATTCGTGCACTTATCTACCCTTTTTCTCATAAAATAATTTGGATATATATAGTTATGAAAAAACAAATCAACATCATTTAAAGTGATAAAAAAGTAAATTAATTCGAAAAGAAAAGTAAATTAGGTCTTAAAAATCAACATACTCCTAGATTCAAATACATTTTACATGCAAAATTGATAGTACAATGTCAACATCGCTTGCATAAAATTCTGTGTGCCCTATTTTCTTGTCCTTTCGAATTCTGTTACTATTTGTTGTTTATTGTCCCTTGACTATCATATAGTTTTGTTATAGTTTTTGTTCCGTTACTATTAGGTGTTTTGTTATTATCTGTTGTCTCATGTATTACCGTTAGTTTTTTGGGGATTGTTTTTCCTTGAACCGAGAGTCGATCGAAAATAACTTTGGAGGTAAGGTTTGCATACATTCTACCATCTCTAGACCGCATTTTGTAGGATTACACTACGCATATTACTGCTTTTTTTCCCTCGAAACAATATAATCTTATAATCGTGAAATATGTATCATTTTATGCAGGATAGAAGACGTTATTATCGAAGCACCAAAAAAAATAAGATGTTTGGATTTAGTATAAGAACAGGTAAGCAAAATGCCTCAGGTTCACCAAGTTCAAAAACAGGATCTCCATCATCTGTTGGTTCACCAAAAACAGCAGGAAGTACAGGTTCACCAAAGGCAGAAGTTGGTGAAATTGACACAAGAGCACCTTTTCAATCTGTTAGAGCTGCTGTTAGTTTGTTTGGTGATACTGGTTCTTCACCCCAGGCTAAACCAACTATTAAAAGATCAAAAACCATTGAAGAGGTATCGTAATCGTATCTAGAGTCAGTAGATTCAGAATAAACGTGATATGAATAGAGTTTTTTTTTTTGACATTAGGTCATAGTAGTGGCCGAGGTAGAAATTTATCATAAAGGTTGCTCTCAATTCTCATTAAATTTAAATTCTGAATCCGCCTTTGTATGTGTTTATACATGGTTTATACCAAAAGCAATAGGTCTGAACTTTCCAAAAATGTTTGACGTATCCATGTCAGATCCTTAAAAAATGCACTACTTTTGGAGGATCGGACACGGACGTAACGATATTTTTGAAGAATCCGAGTAGCATAGGGTTTAATTACCATATACATACTAACAAAATTTTTCTTCTTCTCAGAGGGTGTTAGAGAAGGAAAGTAGGCTTCATTTGGCCCTAAGAGAACTAGATGGCTTCAAAGAACAGATAAGAAGTACAGAGACAACAAAAACTCATGCTCTTCGAGATCTCGAAAAGGCTAAAAGAACACTCCAGGAACTCACAGGAAAGCTCGAGACACTATGCGAAACGAAGCAAGCAGCTATTGAGGCAACAGAGACAGCAAAGGCCCGAGCCATCGAGCTCGAAGAACAGAAATCGAATAAACCTCCAGTAGGCACAGATGCTTGGAAACAGAATGTTGAAGCTGAAAGAGAACAATATCGAACATCTTCTGGTGAACTAAATTCCGCGAAACAAGAGCTTACAAACCTCCGTCAGGACTTTGATGCAGCCCTAACTGCTAAACTGGCCGCGTTTCAAGAAGCTGCAGATGCACAGCATAACGCGGCCATCAATAGAGAGAGGCTAGGTAAGCTCTCGAAAGAAGTCACTACATTACGCGAAACATTAGGACAAGTAAAAGTTGCATCTCTCCAAGCACAAGACGAGCACGAAAAACTCATCCAAGATAAAGAAGTTCACTTACAATCACTCAAAACAGCTAAAGAAGAAGCTGAAGAGAAAATCAGGGCTCTCAAAGAGGACCCTGACTCTCAACTAGTAACAGAAAACCTCGTTGAGAAGCTCGAGGTAACCAACGAAGCAATCCATGTCTTACAAGAACAACTCAATAATGTCCGAGCCCTGGATTTAGACGCGTATAACAAAGCAAATGAAGAGCTCAATGCTACAAAGAACATGTTGAAAGAGATAGTCGCGGAGGAAAGTTCCCTCCGTGGCATAGTTGAATCTCTTAAACAAGAAGCAGAACGTGTAAAAGGCGAACTCAATGAGCTCAACAAGAAAGCAGAGGAAACAGAGTCCCTAGTCGAAAAGTTGAAACTAGAGCTCGAAAACAGCAAGAAAGAACTCGAAACAAGCATTTCAGCTAAAACACAAGCTGAAGGAGATTCAAATGATTTACCTTCAAGAATCCAACAGTTAACTTCCGAGGCGAATCAATACACAAAAGAAGCAAATGAGATGAAGAAAAACACAGAGTTACTCAAACAAGACGCGCAATCAGCACATGAAGCAACTAAAGAAACAGAGGATAAGCTAAAAATCGCGCTAAAAGAAGCTGAAGAAGCAAAAGCAGCAGAGAAACTTGCAGATGAAAAGATACACAATCAATCAAGAAACAACAAAACAGACAATTCCACTGATGATAACAACGACGAAAAACATTCATCATCAGAATCATCTAATGGGAAGATAAGACTATCAATTGAGGAATACGAGGCATTAAAACGAAAAGTAGAGGGAATAAAGAATGATGCTGACATAAAAGTAGCAACTGTCATGGCACAAGTTGAAACTATCAATGCCAATGAAAAACAAGCTAACGAAAAACTCGAGGTGTTGTTAAAGGAGAAGGAAGATATCAAAATCGCGACACAAGAAGCATTGAAAACAACAGAAATGGCAGAAGCAGCAAAATTGGTTGTTGAAGGAGAATTGCAGAAATGGAGAATAAAGGAACAAGAAGAAGAAGAAGTAGAAATTGGAGAATCATCTAATGGAAATGTTGAAGAGACATAGAAGAGAAAATTTGTATAAAATAAAAATAAGAACTATAGTATAAATTATGGGAAATTTTTATGTAATTTGGTGTAATGTTTGTGTATGTATATGATTTTTTTTCCATTTTTATTATTGAAGGCATTCAAATGTGCAGAAAGTATATGAATGTCTATTACCTTCGAGAAATACAGAGTATGATTGCCTATAAATAGATCATTTTAGTTCTGTGTCAGGACTTCAGACTTCCTTCTACCTTAATTATCTTCTCGGTAAAAATACAGAATAAGATTACATATATATAAATCCTTTAAGTTCAGTCTTTTTTTAATTCGACCCGTACATTTATTATACATGGGATGTCTTTCTTCTTATCTAGGATAAAATTCACAAATAATCACTTTTTGAACGTTATAATTGAAATATAGTCATTATCATAAAATTTCAAATTTCACGCTAAAATTTGTGGATAGTGTCATAGAGTTTTACTTTGGTATATTTGAAAATCCATGTCAATTGCTATTTATTGATTGTAGAGCTACACCTCAATTGATAAGTGGGTAAGTAACTCGCACTCAAAAAAATATGGTCTAATGATCAATGAAATAACTTCAGCGAACATTGGAGATAATGGGACACAAAATATAAGTGAATTAATTTCTTTTTGTCTATCTAAATCTTGATATACACACTTACATGGTATCGTGGTATGCACATCTTGTTCACGGTATTCGGAAAATATGTGTGTGTGCGTGTGCGTGCGTGGGTGTGTGTGCGCGTGCACGTGCGTGCGTGTGCGTGCGCGTGCGTGTGTCCTGAACACGTGCTTTGCATGTTAGTCCCACAAAAATATTTTATATGGTAAGAGTTATATTAAAATCACATTAAACAAAAATGAAACTTTAACTAAAAATATTAAAATCACATTTTGAAGAATTTCAAAAATGATTTACTGAAAAAATATAAATGAAATAAATGGACAACCTATATAAACGACTTATGTATTGTAAAATGTAAATGCCAAATAATTAGATATTCTGATAACCTTTTGAACAATAAAATTTAATGTGATAAATAATTTATCTTATTATATTATTAGGTCGAAACCTACAATATATTAATTTGTTACTTTTGTAAGAAAGTGACAATACACACATAAAACATCTTCTCTAATTCCAAAGAGTTTAAAGTAGATTCCAGACTTCAATAAGTTTCCCTCAATGAAAGCGGGGATTTCTGCCTAGCAGTAGGTGTCAGGTGAAGGGGCAGAGACGTCCTCTTTCTACCAGATTATTATATGTACTTTTAACAAGTATATATGTTGTCTCCATATTACATTCAAATGACATAGTAAGTATATTGTTCTTTGTAGCATGAACAAAAAATTTCAACAGTTTGTTCATGGTTATTTTTCATACTTATCATATTTTAATTTTTTATCCTTTTTTTTCTCTTACTTTATTATTCATATTTGACTTTTAAGTACTCCCTCATATTAAATTAAATTACCTCATTTGTTTAGAATATGTCTTCTTCAAAGGTTTTCTCGATTTCTTTTGCTCTATGTTGTTGAGGGAGAAACATTAGTTATCCTTTTTACCTTCGAAGCAAGGAGATTGAAGAAAAATAAATTTAAATAAGTCATTTCAAATTAAAGTTATCAAGGAGGCTCTACTTTGTGAAATACACATGAATTAAGTTATTAAAATCTAATTAAAATACAATAGTCGTATGTATATCAAATTTTTTAAAAAGTAATCATGCAAAAAAATGCAAAATTGTTGGAGAGACATGCTTCATACCTCATTTGTATCGACGCAATTTCTACTAAAAGTTCTATTCAATGTCTACAAAACAATCACCTTACCTGAGAAAAAATTACATCATAAGTTCATAAAACAAAATTTTAGCAGTATATTATCATGTGAGAGATCAAACACTTAAATATCAATTTAAGAATATAATCTGAATGATAGCAAAAACTGAAAAATCTGAGATTTATGCTCTCTAAACCAAATTCAAATGTACAATATTATCATTAGAAGACAACGTGTAAGAAACTTATTTATAGTGATTTTTTGAAGAGTTAAAAAGTCATTCAATTTTAATGGTGATTTCTTGTGGAATTAAAAAGTTATTCAACTTTAATGGTGATTTCTTAAAGAGTTAAAAAAGTCATTCAACTTTAATAGTTTCACACTTATAGAATAATGATTAATCATTATTTATAATAATAATAATATGATAACGATAATTAAAAAGTTGAAGGGTCTTTTCTTAATCCAACTTTAGACTAAGCATCTTCCCACTTATAATATAAAATATAATAACAATTATATATTAAGAAATATGATAAATAAAAAATAAAATAATAATAATATAATATATGATCATGACATGATATGATGATGTATACATTGTTTTTATCTTTCATAACTTTTAAAATTCTGGATTATCGACAATTATGATTAAGATTAAAAACAATATCATTGTACTCATTTATCAAGAAAATAATCATTTAATTATTAAATAACTAAAAGACTTAAATTTTGTCATTATGTAATTAAAATATTTATGTTTCATTAAATGATTAATTCAATTTTAATTTAATAAAAAGTCAATATGATAATTCAACTTTTTACTTTAAAGCTTTTCATTATATATATATATATAAAAGATGTTTATACATTACACTAGATATGTTGAATAGTACCCTTTATTTCTTGATGTATTTACTTTTATATAATTAAATCTCTTTTCGATAAAAATCAAAATCTATAACTATTGATATAAAATAATTGAGATGGACGCCTATCACAATAATGTTTTGAATTTCAGTACGAATATTCCATCGAACTTATTATCAATAGGTCTCTTGATCAGTTAATTCCCATTTATATAATTCAGTCAATATAATTATATAACGTATGAACACTACAATTCTCATATAAGTTTCAATTAATCGCACTTTAAATTTCGAAAGTAAAATAAATTTTTATTTGATTGTGATTTTTTCATGTCTTTTAAATTTTTAATTATAATAATTTATAATACTTTTTATATAGTTTACAAAATATACGCTTTAATTGATCTCTATTTAAATTTAATTCACAAAATCCGAACTACAATAATTGTAAGCAAAATGCATTGACTTTAGACAATTTCATTGGTTGAAAGCGCCAAGATGCTGGTATATATTCGGATATTCTTGTACAAGTCTCTATTAGAAAATAACGTCTCAACGTTTTGGTTTTTTAAAAAAATAATAAATTAATCATATCATCATTCATATTTGATTAATTTATTAAAATAAAATAAATAAATTAATGTTGATCTTTTTATTCTATCAAATATGCATATTTTTTTGGGTTCAGGGACCCTTGTTTAGTCAGGCAGGTTCAATTGAATACTCTTCGTAAAAAAAAAATAGCACATATTAAATGGATCTAGCTATTACCCTTTTTTTTTCATAATTAAATACTTTGTTAGCCTATTTTAAGAACAAAATAAGAATATTATAATTAAGAACTTTTTATATATAGAAGAAATGTAATGTTGTTTATAAAACAAATTAAAAAGAGAAATAAAATAAAAAGAGGTATTATCATCAAAGTACGTTTTACATGAAAAATAGTGATATTACATTAATTCGACGGAGGCAAGATTTCTCTTGAGGGATTCATAGAGTACTAAAAATGAAAACGCAAATAAGTGAAGAAAATTAAGCATTCGATATATAATATGTTAAAAAATTATCAATATTAATATATATTTTGTAATTTTTCGGTGAAATGGGCTTAGATAAATCTCCTTCCATCCGTTACCTCTGCCCATGATCATATTAAGAGACACATATGAATATTTTTCGGGGTGAAGGTATATTATAATTTATAGGTTCACCAAATTCAATAATTTTGGCTTAAATCATATAAATCTATTATGTATGCAATAACAACAACACGCTCAAAGATTGTACACATATCTTGCCTTTATCTTTACGGGATGAAGAGGTTGATTATGTAATTGCTGAAAGTAAATTCTCGATTTGTGTTGATTATATAATTGTTGAAAGTAAATTCTCAATTTGTGCATACATAAAAATCTATTATGTACGCATGAATATTAAATTCTGAACTCATAAAATTTAAATCTTGAATCCGCTTCAACCTTATAATTCCAAAATAAGAGTTATTTTAGCTTACATCATTAGTTTTATCCTCTATATAAAAATGTCTCACTTTGTAACAACTTTTTCCTACACTTGTCTAAGTTTTCCCAACAACTTAAATCTTTTGGGAGAAAATAAGAAGGGACAAAACACAAAGTTTGTCTATCATCATTAATCCCCTCTTGGGATTTTGACATAATTAAGGTTGATCACAATCATCTTGATTTTTCATTAATTTTCAAGAAGAAGAAAACAATGAAAGAAATCATTGACAATAGTTTGATCAATGAAATTGAAGAAGAAGAAGAAGAAGAAGAAGAGGGGAACTTTTATAATTCTACAAGTGATTTGTTTGAAATTGATCATCATGGTGGTGGTGAAGTTGAAGGAAGTTTGTTTTCCTTTGACTTTCACAATCATGAGGAACATGATGTTGTTTATGTTGTTGTTTGGAATAAGAATGTTAGTCAAGAGGAATCAAGCATGGATGCTTTGCTTTGGACTCTCAATCATGTTGTGACTAATCCAAATTCTACCATTGTTTTCCTCATTCATATATTTCCTCAAACTAACTTCATCCCTACTCCTTGTAAGTCCTCTCTCACACACACACACACAAAAAGAATCATAAGAAAAGATATATTTAATTCTTGATTTCGTTACTTTTGTTATTTTCTTGAGTCTAAGGGTGTATCAGAAACAACCTGTGTATCTTCCAAGGTAAGGATAAAATCTACGTATATACTGCCCTCACCAGACCCCACTTGTGAAACTACCGTGAATATATTGTTATTGTTATAGTCTAATGCTTTAGTTGTAATATCCAAATTATAACAGACTATAAAAATTAAGATATTGTGTTACTTCCTTATTATTTGAATTTAGATCTTATTTAGTTTGTTATACTCTAAAAGACACAAGATTATATGAAGATTATTTTGTGATGAAACAACACAGTGGGAATGATACCAATAGGCCAAGTGAATGAAGAGCAAAAAGAGAACTACATGACTAAAGAAAGAAGCAAGAGGAGACAGTTCCTTCAAAAGTTTGTTGACATTTGCTCTGCTTCCAA